CTTCACAATGATCAGAGTTGTTGAATGTCTGTCAGCAGTGGCCTTGTGGTGTGTAGAACATGTTTTACCTTGACTAAGTGAATAGCACAGAACACTACAGGAGGGAGAAACATGTTCCAACAATTACATGATTCTTCATCACAAGCAGACAGCTTTATTTGTTACGGAATATTATAAAATGCATCTCATTCAGTCAGTTTGAAAGACTATCAGTGACTTTAATAGTCGGTGTAAGATTGCAGATGTAACTCTGGCCTCTTACTAGCCCAGGAAAGCCGTAGCACCCGAGGGTCAACAAAAACGAAGAAAAGAAAATAAGTTCTTCACCTTTTTTTAATTGGCCACACCATGAGCAGATCTGAGAGCATGTCCCCATGACAGACAACAGGCAATCAACACCGTGACAAAAAAATGTCCCTTATATAGCTTGGCCTAAGCCCCAGACAGGTAAATTTAAACTTTTAAAAACTACTAAATATAGGATTATACGATGTACAACTATTTACATTTCACAAACCAATATTGCACTTTGTGACATCAGGATTATCAGTTTTTCAATATTATTTCATGTATTAGTTAGATAGTTAAAACCATTTCGACAGTTAAACCTCCGCGATGGATGCACCTGGCCTGAACTGATAAGGACACGCCTCCAAATCAGTGCCTCCACCAATCACCTCAAAGAAAAGGGGAAAAAAAAAGGAGTGAAACAGGGAAAATTAACATGGCATCAAATGAATATAACTGAAAACATGAAGGTTTACACCTGATGAGTGAGGGTGTGGTCTATAACTCCCTCACATTTCCTCCCCCCTCGGAAGGCACGACCTCGTGACTGCAGGACAGGAAGTCTGCCATGGCATTCTGCTTCCCAGGCACATAGCCAATGGTGAACTTGTAAGGTTGGAGGGATAAGAACCACCTGGTGATCTGACTGTTTGTGTCTTTCATAGACTCCAACCACTGGAGGGCTCTGTGGTCTGTTTCCAGGGTGAACTCCCTCCCCAGAAGATAGTACTTGAAAGAGTCAATCACCCACTTAATGGCTAAACACACCAGCTCCACGGTTGAGTAGCGCATCTCCCTTGGGAACAGCTTCCGGCTCACATAAGCCACTGGTTTCCTGTTCTCTCCCTCTCCTTGTAGGAGGACACCCCCAATGCCTCTGTGTGATGCATCCGTCTGAACAGTGAAAGACAGGCTGAAGTTTGGGCTTTGGAGGACAGGCTCATGCAGAGAGCCTCTTTCAGATCCTGAAATGCTTTTTCCTGTTCCTCTCCCCAAAGGCATTTGGCCTGACCGGCACTTGTGAGGTCAGAGAGAGGTGCAGCACGAGCCGAGAACTTCCTGGTGAACCACCGGTACCAACCTACCAGGCCCAGGAATGAACGGACCTGCTTTTTGCTGGTTGGTCTTTTAGCCGCCCGCACAGCCTCCACTTTGTCCTGTACCGGCCTGATCACACCGCCTCCCAAGATGTGGCCCAGATACTGCAGTTCCTGTGTGAGCTTGTGAGGGACTGGCAGAAAGCGGGGATGGAGAACGCAACTTCACGGCGAACGGGAGGGTGCGCCATGTAACTTTCCTGGAAGTCACTGGATGAATCGACAAAGCCTGAACTTCAATGATAACTGAAACCGTCCTGTCGGGATTCAGAAAGGCCAGAATAATTCTAACTGGAACTGATGCTGAGTCTGACGACAGCGACACAGAAGAGGAAGCGGCGCTCTGTTTACCTCATGGATCTATGGTTTATCTCCAGAGGTCGCACAGAAGTGACACCGAGGATGAAGAATTCATTGGATTTAGTGATTTGGAGTGAGATGGAGAGTTTGGTAAACTTATGTTATGTTGTTTATGCTGTAATTATCTGAATAACTGTTAATATTAATATGTTACGTTAACAGATTAACACCTATTCAGCCTGTTGTTCTCTGTTTTGTTGTTTTTACTAGGACTTGCCTTTCAAGTTGAAATGTTGGATCCTGGTCTCTGATTTTATAAAACACATTTCCCCAAAAAGTGTGACTTATATATGCTCTTTTCTTCTTCATTATACATTTTTTGGCTAGTGCGACTTATACTCCAGAGCGACGGTACGTGCATCGCCAGTAAAAATCAGGGGATTAACATTTGCTATAAAACAACACATTTTAACTTTTGTGTTTAAATAACAGACAACGACAATGCATTTGGACATTTTCTCTTTCAGTTTTGTCTTTGCCACATTGGTTTGACAATTTTTTTGCATAATTGTCCTTGTCTCATCCTCCAATCAAAAGAAATCACATTACACATGTCAGGAGGAACTGTTTACGTGACATTTCAATAATCCGATAACCCCAGAAATCAGATTACGATCAGATGTAAACATGCAAACTCTGTTGAATGTAGACTTACTTCTATCTATCTATCTAATACAGATGAACAGTGTATTTACATTGTGTGCGTATCCCGTTTTAAGTGTCAAATCTGTCCAGCAGCAGGCAACCAATCACAAAGCAGCACAGGAGTTTGAGATCCTACGACCAAATGACTTTGTAATAAACCCAGAATGGCTCTGATATGAGATGTCCTCAGTATATTAAGGCCGGTAATGATAATGGTCTCCCAGGTTCAGTAGTGATTGGATTGCCATTTTAAACCAGTAGGAGCATATTGCAGCTATTAATGTTATGCAGTTTGGAGCACAGCCAAATGAAACAAAAACTGGCCTAAAGTTGTAGGTTTGAAAATATATTTCAGCTTGAATAAATCTGTGAGTGTGATAACTGTGTTTGCCCTGAATCCTGGATCTGTATCTATTATATGTGCGGTAACTTTTTTGAGTAGGTGGCTCTCCATCTGCTTGTCTCCATGGAACTTTATTTATGATGAATTTATTCAACAGAGGTGTTCTTTATTATTATTATAAAAAAAAAAAAAAAAAAACTAGAAAAGCACTCAGAGAGCGCAGACCTCCGCCAAGGACTACCCCCATTTTTTATATAAATTGCAATAAAATCAGTCTTCTGGATCAGATCCGGATCAGCCTTTGGAATATGAAAGAGGATCCCATTGTCCATCCCTGAGTCAAATTTCATGGGGTTTGGTCAATAATTAACCGAGATATTGAGAAACAAAATTTTTGGCCCCATTTACCACAATGTTAACTAAAATTTCAAAGTGATCCAGAATCCAGGATTTCTTCCGGATCACCCCCAAAATGAAATCAGTTCTTCCTTTTCACATTTCCAACAAATTCTGAAAATTTCATCAAAATCGGTCCATAACTTTTCGAGTTATGTTGCTAACAGACAAACAAACAAACAAACAAACAGACAAATACAGACTGAACCAGGATTTATCCAGGTCAAGGACCAGACCGGGACTGAGACTGGGACCAGACCAGGACTAAGACCGAGACCAGGCCAGAGACCAGACCGGGACCAGACCGGGACCAGACCGGAGGCTCTGAGCCAAAGCTGGGAGTCCGCTGTGGTCCTGCTCTGGTCCCGGTCTGGTCCTGGACCAGGATTAGTCCTGGTTCAGTCCGGCATCACAGTCACGGAAGTCACGTAAACGGGAAACGGCCGTTATCCGTTTTTTCCATTTTTCATTTAAACACAAAATCGAAAACTGAAAAAAAAACAACAACAAATCATTATCTGTTTTTTCATTTTGGTTTGGGAAACAAAATAATGAAGAAAACAGTTGTTTTTTCGTTTTCTTAGTTTGGGTTTGAAATTGAAAAACAAATGAACGAATGATACACGGATTCACATCTCTCCCTGCCGTTTGAAAGCGTATTAGCAAATAGCTTCAATAAAACAGAACCGAGGCGCTAAGTTATTTTACACACTGCCGTAAACTAGGGACTTTATGCAAACCATCCATGTATGTTATAGATCTATGTCCATGCATGAATTACACTGTGCTGTGGACCCTATCTAATTACATGAGAGCAAACACGTACGGGCTACCTATTGATCTACAGCGGAAGGGAGCATTTCATTTTCATAAACAAGGACAGTCATGCAACACTTGTACACCACCCTGCATGCTAACGCCATCAGCGCCAAACACAACAAGGCGCCAGGCCACCAGGATTACGCGGCTCCTCAAATTGATTTTCCCGTCTTTCCGCAGGTGTTCTGTTGGATATTAACGGATCACTTTAAAATTTATTACTCGTCCTTTGATGCATTACTTTATAACCGCATTTAAAGGTACAGACGGGCGCTCACTTACACGGAGCGCTGCTCTCAGAAGCGAAAGTAAATCCCGACACGGCACGGTACATGCACATGCCCATTTTGATCATCATAAATTACACATGGGGAAACAAGCGGCAACAGTAGAATCTAAATATGGAGCATAAATGTATTCAAAATGGGAGGTCAGGTATGAAATATAAAATAGGTACTTTGCTCACATCACCTAAGCGCTCCTCAGTGCACCTCTGATGTAAAGTGGATGCAAAAATGTATGTAAAAGTATAAAATTTGTATGTGGTATTAATTGCTAAAGCATAACATATTTACATGTTTATTTATCACCATGTTACCTTTTTTTTTTTTTCCTATACTCTCAGAACATAACTTATTAAAATGCTAGTTTCAGTTTCATTTCTGATGCCGCGAGTCTTCCCACCGCTACTTCAGAGCTCCATCACGTTACAATCAGTGTGCATCCTGGTAATGAAACTACTGCATATTGCATCAGGTTTGTGAAGTTGTTGTGTACAGTTTTGTATCATACTTTTGTATAGTCTTAGAGAATTGCAGAAGGTATGGTGAGCAGACTGATGTCCCCCTGCCTAAAACAGAGATATCAATTTGGACTTGCCAGGCAACCAAACCGGCACAATGCCAGACCACTGCCATACATCAGTAATGGGCAGCAGAGGAAAAATACAACTGGGTCTGATTGAGCGAAGTAAGTACAAATTGTAACTTGTAAACAGTTGAAAAAAAAAATGAAAATAACAATTTGATTGCTTATTTTATTTACCCACACCATCACCAATCACACACATTTAAAGCTGGATCTGTCACAGCAACATTCTACTTGGGGCAGCTGTAGAGCATGTTGATCCTCTGGACGTCCCAGAAGGACAGGCCCTGTCTCTGACCGATGGAGATGTTGGGGTCGCGTTTGGGGGTGATGGTGTCCTGCCCGTTGATGGAGAAGGCCGTTCTTCCGTAGTGCATGATGGAGGAGTAGTCGTAGGGGGTGTTCAGGTTGTTGGTGGACTCTAAGTGGAAGTTGTAGGCCATCTTCTGGTCCACGTTGTTCCAGTTGATGGTGACGTAGGAGTCGCGGTCGCTGCGGTTCTGTTCGTGATGGAAGCCCAGGGCGTGGTTGATCTCGTGCTGAATGACTCCTGGGTGCACACAGCCCTGTCTGTTCAGAGACAGCACCTGCCGGCCCCCCTGTCGGCCCATAGATGAGAAACAGCCGCTCTGGTTCTCGATGCTGATGTAGTCGGACTGGCTCTGACGAGGCACCAAGCGCACACACGTGTATCTGTGGAAGGCTTGCATGGCCTGGTCCATCAGGTTTCTTTCATAGCTGCTAAACTCACTGTTGATGGTGTAGGGAATGGTCACCAGGCCGTCGGAGCCTTTAGGCCACAGGCAGCTCTGGCCCCAGGAGCACCGCATGGCGTTTCTGTTTTTGGGAGGCAGCAGGTCACCGTCCAGGAGGAACACGTCTGAGTTATTGTTGGAGGTCAGGATCTGTTGGCTGATGTCTACAGTGAGATCTTCAGGGGGCATGGCTTCTTCTTCTGTGGGTGGGACATACAGAGCCTGACTCTGACAAACAGCCAGCAGCAGCAGAACACACACACAAACACAGGGACTCATCTTCACTCCACCTGCAGGTCCATGTGCTCCTGTGTGGAGCCAGCCTCTTTATACTGCCCACTACAGGTGTGTCCCTCACGGATTATGGGCTGGACTCCACAACACTAGTCCTTAAGTCAACATCTGCACTTTTCTGAACTGAGGTGTCTGATGTCTTTCCAGGGATCTGTGATCTGCTGTAGCCACTCCTACAGTTTGGTGGGGAAGACATCAGACACCTCCATTCAAAAAAAGTGCAGTACTAGGAACAGCAAAGATACTGCGCAGAACTCTCAAGCTCCCAGGATGAGGGTGAGAGACCAACCAGTGTGGAAGGTGAGGAACACATTACACATATATACATATATAAATTATATTCATTCAAACATTCACCAAAGTCTAAAAGATCTAGTTTATATCAAATGGAACAAGACTAAATTTTCACAAATAAAATGACACAACCTTTTACTTCTAGGGGGATAATTTGGCATGTTTAATCAGATGCACATCAAACCTCAATGTGAAAATGTATTGCTTTCCAAGTACTACCACAACCGGACTAAACTAGATCATAATGAACCTTTAAATATTAACAGGGTGGTATTTTACTTTACTTTTATGGGATATTAGCTGCTAACAAATAACATATTTAGATCATCATGTTCCCTTTTATAGTTTTGAATTTTGAGTTTCTCTCACCCTTTGCACTCCCCATTAAGTCACTCCCCCTTCAGAGCACTATCAAAACACAACCACGGTGCTTCACGCTAATGAAACTATTGCATCAGTCAGTCAAGTTGCTGTGTGCAGTTTTGTATCATGTTTGTTGTGTTTTTTTTTTGGAGAACTGTGGGCGGCGCATTGCACAGAACCTTACAGCTCTAACCGTAAGCCGCGTTTTTTGATGAGGGGACATTATAATACGGTAGATGATGCGCGGTAAGAGAACCGATCTGCTGTCGAACCTGTCGTTGTGGACAGTTATAAACCACCCTAAATTTGCTTCAAAGACACAATTCACCACGTAGAAATATATGTTTGAAAACAGGCGTTGTCAGGAGGCTGGAGCGGAGAGCAAACAGCCGAGCGGATAAATGGACTGAGAAGGAGAGAGGTCAAGTATGAAATATGGGGCCGTCATGAGAGAGCGCGCTGAAGCCAAGCCGCAGACATGGAAGTGTATTTATGTCATTGTTATGCAAGGCCCCCGTGGAACTGGTTTGTCTTGTGCCTTCTGCTTAAACAGCCCGACGGAGCTCTAAATCCCGTATTTAATAACCCGGCTGAAGGTAAAGTCTCTATAAGAAAAATGCAGGGTTTTTTTTGGAGGTATGGAGAATTCATCAGATATAGCCTCTCCAAAGCTCCAAACTATGCCTGTGCAGTTTTATGTCATTTCATTTTTAACTTAAAATAATGTCTGCGTTTGGAAAATACTTCGTTTCCAATGAGGTATTTTGGCTTTGGAGCTCCCTCTTTTGTCAGCAAAGGGAATGAACAATTAGAAAATAAATGGAGACTAAATGCAAGTATAATAATAAATAATAAATGTGAGAATAAGATGACCCACGGGGATAGAGGCGGGCATTTGAGCGCAGAATGAGCCCGGTGATGGATTATGGGTTTAAAACTGTACAGAAGTCTGGAGTTTTATCTGTGATGCAACAATCCAGGCATTTTTGAGTGCTCAGAAAACACGCTGGAATAACAAAATCATGAAACAAGCATAAATGAAGCAAAAATATAACTCCATTTATGTTTCTGATGAAGGGATGACAGTAGGCTTATAATATGGTTTAAAGGCTAAAAAAAAAAAAAAAAAAAAATCGCTCAAAATAATCGATTTTGAACAGTGTGTCAAGTCATATCTAATTGCCAGTGAACATCTTGAGTCAAGACCAGAGACTGTTTACAGAAATCAACTATTTAGGCTGAGTTCTTCTCTATTGTTCTTCTCTTCTCCACTGTGTTTGTAAACTCCATCCATCCATACGTACTTACATACTTACCGTATTTTCCAGACTATTGAGCGCACCTGAATATAAGATGCATCAACTAAATTTTAACAACATTTTTAAGATGTACATATATAGGCCGCACTTGAATATAAGCTGCAGGTGCCCACGTCTTCAAGAACGTTTTCAAGTTCAGGCGTCTGCTTTTATCGCCTCTGAAAGCTTTTGTCGTCTTTTTGTATTGAGTCAGTTCGTCACGCCGCCGTCGCCAAAATCTCACCGACTCACTGATGCTGAGCTCACGTGCGGTGGTTCTATTTCCTTCTTCAACAGCCACATCAGTTGCCTTTAACTTAAAAACTGCATCATCTGTATTTCTTCGTGTGTTTTCCATGAGGAGGGTGTGTGTATGAAGCACGAAAATAACACAATCAAACATCATCTTCCTCAGCGCATCACCCACGTCTCTCCCCGCGCTCTACTGCTCATGTCTCCTGCAGAAAGAGTCTTTGTCCTGTCTGTATCATGTCAGTGTCTTGGAGGATTTCAGCAGATTTCAGTTTCTTCGTGCTTACGACTAGTTGTGTTGATCAGGTGTGAGTGGATGTCCCGCTTCTGAAGTTTGAGACATTTCTTCTCGTCATTTACGCAGACGGGTAAGACGTATCCCCCTCACTAATATTCATTTAGCATCAGAACTTATGTTATCACATGGTGATAAACTTCATGTTAACCCTAGATCCACGTGTAACCGCACACACAGCGGCGTTTTCTGCACTCAGGCTGTGTGTATCCACTGTGTTGTCAAACCATAGACCGTATATATGAATGGACAATGTGTCAAACAAACTTATTGTCCGGAAATTATGGTAAACTAGAATAAGTGGGACAGTTCCAGCTCTTGAATTGCCAATCTCTACTGAACAAAAGGTAAAAGGTAGCTTTGGACTTGAAAACTACAAATGCATGATATCACAAGGTGCTGAGCATTTTGAGCTTTGGAGATGTAGAGAGACTAGTAATAAAGATTAGTCAAACATGTGCAACTGAAACAAAACACAACTCCAGGTCTATTTTTGAGGAGGTAACAACATTAAAACATGACTTAAAGCTCACAAGAGTCACTGTTTTGTAATGTAAGCCATTTAAAATCTATTCCAAACCGCACAGGCAGCCAGTGAAGGGAAGCTAAAACCGGGGTGGTGTAATGATGTCTGTTAACACCAGAAAGAAACCTATTCTCATTATTCCATTCTACCCAACTATGTCCAAGCGCAGGGCATTAACACTGATACAGATATGTGAACAGCGAGACACAGTGGCACAGCTTTCACAGCAGCAGATTCTTGCACTGTTTAATGTTTTCTTGCTAGCTCCCATGAGAACTACACCACTATAGTGTGACCACATATCGGCTCCTCTCATTACTGCACTTAAACATCATCTTCTCTTTCTTTTTCCTGTTCAATTAACGTTGGTTTTCACACAGTCCAATATAACAACACTAGCCCCACCAGGCTTTACAGGAAACTGTCCAACAGCCGAGAAGGAAACAGGAAAAAAAAGAATATCCAGGCAAAAGTATTCACCTGGTTTAAAACATACACAACACTCAGGAACATCTCTGTTAACAGTTTTCCTTTAAAAATAATGGGACTGCAGGCGTTAAAAAAAAAAAAAAGCTTTAATTCATGTACTTCAGTTCTTTTAAGTATAGTTCTGGACATTGAGGAGGAGATATAAACAGTTGTACAAACATTCAACAGTCACAGTGCACCAACTTATGACCAAAGAAACATCTGTCCTGAAGGAATGCACAGATGTGTTTATGACTCTGCTCACAGACAGTGAGTGAATCCTGTCTGCCAGCACTCACACTGAAGACCACACTAAAGGAGGAGGAGCGGTTCAGTGAAGACAAAAGGGAAACAAAGTGCAGCAGGTGAAGAAGGAGTCCTCTTTAGTGTTGGTGAAGCTTCTCCACAAGGACATGTGTGTGTTCATGAGACACACATGTCACTGCCCCCACTGTAGCAGGATAATGCTAATGCTATACACTGTACCAAATACATGGCACTGCCGCTGTGCCAGGAAAACAATCTTGTATTCACAAGTGCATTGCCAAATGGCACATTCTTATATATAATATTTCAAAACTGAGACAAATTATGATGCAGAAGAAAGTCATGTGGCAAAAACTGAACCCTTAAACAGGATGGTTAAATACTGTCAAGTGAGGTTGAACTGTCAGTGCATTAAATCCCACAGAGCTTTGTTGCCCTGAATGTCCAATTCCCCTCAAGATCAAAACTCAACAGCACAAGTAACCACAGTCATCAAGTCACTAAAGATAATCACAGTGTAAAACCAATCATGATTCTAGGGTATGCCCACACGACAATGCTCCTGGATTTTAATTTTTTTTTTTGTTGAAATGGGTGGGTTGAAAAAAATTCACGTCCACACGTGTCAGATCAATAAATATTCACATCCAGACGACAACGGAGCATTGAGTGAAAATGATGTAATACATATGCCACACCTGTATGTGGTGCTGTAAACAGGATACAGCCAGAGACACTGGACACACAATACTACAAAGAGCACATGCACGTAAAGTCCTTCCTCTTCCATAATAAACAAAGACATGCAACGATGACGGGATCGCAACGTCATTTTCCCAAAGCTGTGGTTTGGTTGTCTCACACGACAACTGCGTTCTCAGATTTCTCCTCTCTGGAAACACCGGCTCCATGTGGACAAAAGGCCAAAACGATTAAAAAAATGAACAGTTTCCACCAAAAAACTTTGTTGTATGGACACCACTTTAGATGCCTTACTGTAAAGAATTCTCCATGCTGTACAGGTGTGACAAAGGACTGCGAAAACGATGGTCCATGTGATACAACTACTGTATTTGCTCTCAATAATGGGAGGATCCTGTACTGAATCTCAATGACAAAGGCTGATACACAAATGGATGGGAGCCTCCAGAACACCTTCATTTTGAGGTGCTATACGACCATACGTACAGTTCTTTGCGGACACCTGTACAATAGTAAAACT